GATTTGAGGTAAAGCGCTCTTTTATCTAAACTATTAAAATTATAGGGTCAGGTTGAATTCCTCTTTTTCAAAACTAAATTTTTTTTTAACGTCCTTCCGAAGCGGGCAACGGGATTTCAATTCCGATGACCGACAGCTTCTTACGGGCAAAACCCCACACCAAAAATAGTGCCGACAGGGGATGTCCAAGAATATTCTCGATAGAAAGAGTCTTGCTTACATTATTTTGATACTATTATTTAAGCAACTCAATGATTTTGATTATTTCAAGAGGGAGAATCCTGATGTTTTCAATACCTATACCGGGCCATAAGACATAAAGCAAATAATTATATCCACTACGAGTGGCGGCACTTAGGCATGCATGGCCCATGAAACAATATCAACAACTTTTTTTAAAGGGATGAAGGCTCAAAAGATGTGTTAACAGAAAAGGAGAGAAATCTCTAAGCAGGTAGAGGTAGTCAGGTCAGGATATCATGGATCATTAATCTTAAGCAATGAAGGCTCAAAGTCTACCTGATCGTAACGGTAGTCGACCTAACCCGACCATGTGCCTCTTGTTAGCAACTGCTTATATGTAACAATATAATAATGTCTTTGATGATATTCTTCACTTATGTTTCCTTACTTTGCAACAGAACCAAAAACTTGATCCTAAGGAAAATAAGAATTTAACTCTTTAATTTATATTTATATTGGGATACTACGCAAGTATACATATCATTATCAAGTAATATAAGACTTTTTGATTAATACCTGAATATCAAACCCATAAAAAAATACGCAATATGCACTATTGAACAACAAACTTTTTATTTTAAAAGATGATTATTTAAACTAAAAATATTTTTGCAGTATTAAAATTCAATTTTTTTTGGTATTTTTGATATTTTGACAGAACAATAACAATTTAAAAAGATAACTTGAGTTTATGTAAAAGAAAAGCACTGAATTTGAAAAATATCTTTCTCCTTATCATGAATCAGTAATAAGTATATGAATTATATTGTGGAAGTATGCGAATTGTGTTGTCCCAATAGGAGCAATTATATTCTTTACCCTTTTTAGAGATACTATAAAGAACATTGGATAATTTAAAGTTTGAATAGTTTTGAAGACCGGCTAGGCAAGAAAGATATCAGCTCTCACTCTAGAGTTCCCTCGATTCCCTCAACTTGCAGGCTAACATCTCGTATTAGAACCTAAAACAATAAACCAAGTTGGGGGTTTTAACCTGTTACTTTAAATTCCTCTAGCTCTACACCCTTCAATGATTATTTCCCTATTTATTTGCACTAAATCATATGAATTACATTCTCATTCATACAACCTCATGTGATTCTTTCCAATTGTTGACTGAGACAATATCAGTCCGGTTCTTACATGTTCTCACGATAAATTTTAATATCTGGATAGGCCAAATCAAGAAGTAAATGAAGTTCATGGATTTAAATCATCACAAGTTCTTCCAACATTAAAGATCAATATTCTCCACAACTTCCATCCAACACTTTATTTACTTATCATTTTAAGAAAAAAAAATAAAGAAAACTACTCCGAATCCATGGAAAAAATAAAAACACACTTTAGTTTAAAAATAGAAACCATTATTAACCAACAAGAAGTCTCGATTAAAACCAAAAGTAGTTTAAAACAAAAGATAAAAATTTATCTCAAATTGTCCGCCAAACTCTTGAAGTTCCTTTGAATCTCTTCTCTTTTACAACACTCTAAAAAAAAAAATAAAAACAAAAAGGATAAAGTAAATTTTTGTGGCGCTTGAAAATCTCTCCAAACTCCTTAGAAATCCTCTTCTTCTAACTCTTTTCAGAACTTTCAAGCACCCACTTCAAATGCACTCCCTTCAAATGTCTCAACTTTCTTCTTTTATAAATCTCCAAAAGGTGTCTTAGAAACTCTTCAAAATGTGTCCACATTCGATGAATCCTCCAAAGAATGTCTCATTTCACAAGTCTTTTAATAATATTTCCGTTCTTAGTGGTCATAACCACCCTCTTAAGCCAATATGTGTCTCAAATGCCTCTTCAAAATTTGGCCAAATAAAGAAAACCGTCAAATAACTGCCTCTGGCGCTAATAACTACCTTTGACGCTTAGGAGCGGATTTCTCTGTTTCACCGGTGCTTAAGCGCCGGATCTGGCGCTTAGGCGCCAAATCACTTTAACACAATTTTCATTTTTTTGCTCCAAATTTGATCATTTTTTACACCTTTAAGCATTTTTCACCTTTTTACTTGTACCTGAAAGAAAAACACAAAAATATCTTCCATAAAAGTGCAATATCTCAAAAATAGGTATAAAAATGTGTCTAAAAACACTATATATTTTAAGTGTATCAGTCGTCTAAGAGAATCCCAATAGCTTTAAGGCCAGAGAAAAGAAAGTCAAATTTTCTATCACTCTCTAAGGGGTGGAATAGGAAGATGTGGGACTTAGACTCGTCAATTCAATGATAAAGATGCTACTGGAAAGGATAAGAGGAGAGGGGTCCAACTACATAACTATAATTTCCCCCACAAAGTACTTATTCCCCGTCTTGGTCTGGGAAACCTCTAACACTCAAGCCATTCTAGACAAACGCTTATGTAGAAATTGCTGCTTGGCTTAGTCAATTGGAGGACCACGAGGACTCCTCCTCGCGGCATGCAAAATGGTGTAATTATTTTTAAAATTTGATTTTAAATGGAGGCCATATTAGGGATGAAATGGGTAATATCATGCTATGTCAATTCTATTTTGAAGCCGACCCTAATGTCATGAAGAAAAGTAAATGCATAAAGTAAATTGCTGATTTTATCTTTTTGCTTTACAAGTGATTGGCTATGTGATTTGGCATGAGAGGAATACCAGAAATTTTTTCTGTTGATTCTAATATTCATTATATTCATTGGTTGATCCTTTATAAGAGCAGAAAATGGAAATTTAAAAATTCAATTCCTGCTTATATTGTTTAGTTTTATGAACTTTAATTTTGTATTTTTTCTTCCATAGTTCTTACTGGCTCTTGATTTTTGGGATTTCTTGGTTTTTAGGTCGCTGCTTGCTTAGTGTAGCCTTGTTTCTTCCAGTTCACTAGTTTGGTTTCCTCCACCTAGCTACCATTTTTGCTGGTTTTCGGTTTATTTAGTTTTTTATTATATTTTTTTTAGTTTTTGTACTTTTAGTTATTGCTGGACTGCTTAGTTTTGTTTTTTATTGAATAGTTTCGTTTTTTTGGTTGGTTGCTTGGTATTTGCATTAATTTTCAACCATAATTTTTGAATATTTTTATATATTCAAAAGTTATTTGGATGGAATTTTTATTAATTCTTTCTTGTTTATTTTTCTATTTGAAACTTTTTTCTTTATTTAGTTTTGGTTCGACTATTTTGATTTGTGGTTTTATTGTTGGTTTTCGGTTTTTGCTGCATGTTTAGCTTTATTTATTTATAGTTTATCTCTGCTTTAATTTGGCTGGTCTTTGGTTTGTTGTATTTTTGTTGGCTTTCTATTTGTCTATTGCCATGAATCTTATTCTATTGCTTAATATTGGCTAGATGTTGAGATTGGTATCCATCATCTTTTATCGCCTTATTTTGGATAGATGTTGTGATTGGTATAGATATATGATGAACTCTAGTCGTTATTTAAAATCAACCATGTGTTGAATATATTCTTATATATTCAATATTTTAGGATAAAATTTTAATACTTAAGTGCATGTAAGTTCTGAGATATGATTTTTTCTTATTTAATTCAATTTTGTTTTTTCTTTTTATTTGTGTTTATTATTTCTTTTGATATTTCGGTAGTTTGTTTGTTTTTTTGTTTTTCTTGTTTGTTTTCATTGCAGGTCTTCCCGTTCTCGTGGACTCTTTCTTCTCTTTGTGGGAGTTGTTGCGGTTTGGAGTACTGCTACTGTTCTGTTGTTATAGTTGCTTTGCTATGTGTGTTCTTAAGTTTTTATTTTTTTGGTTTTTTTTTTTTTAATTTTGATTGTCGTGTGAGCTGTAATTTGAGATTTCATTTTGTAACTCTTTCTCTTCTTTTGAATAAAGCCGGGTGTGACAAAAAAAGAGACAATTACATGCAAAGCACAGAAACATTGCTATGTACAAATCAAACACCTTGGTGATTTTTTGAACCATGAAAACGATGCATTTACGAGTGCCACGATCTAGTCATTGTGAATAATAAAAAAAAATAATATGAGTTGGGCTCTTATCATGATCTTAGATATTTGAATAAAAATTTGAAAAAAAGATGAAAGAGTG